TTATGGAAATTTTATTGATTGCATGGAGAGTATGCTACATTATACATTATCAGGGCTACCTCCAAAGTTTATATGCTGAACAAATCTTAAAAGTGAAGGAGAGAGAGAGAGAGAGAGAGAGAGAGAGAGAGATTCCTCCCAGTTAACAATCCACCTTGGTTCCAGCGGCTGCTGACACAGCACTGTAACTGCCATTTCACAGAGCACTGGGTACAATAAATCAGCCTGCAGCACGACTTTACCCTTCCCTCGGGCAGGTTGGTGGGAGTCCTTTCTTCCTCTTGGAGCTTGTGATGCTCTGTAAAAATACGAACGGATCACGGTATTTCTAGACACCCTGACACTTCAGATTCTCTCTGATTTAAAGTCCCTGTAGATCAGACAAATACCCCAAATTGCAGAGATCCAAATAACAGTTATGGGAAAAAGAAAAAGAGTGAGTCAGTACAGTATATTTGTTATCACTGTGTGGCTTTATTGGACAAATAACATGTTAAACATACAGCTGTCACTTTATTGACACCTAGAGCAGCTGTGATTCTGGAATCTTTTCAAAGCCACCACTCAACTTAGAATAGGGGTACACCATCCTCCACTGTAGAAGACACTGTGATCATCTAAGGAACTTTGAAAACACTCACACCTGAATCTCACCTCCAGAGAACCTGATATAATGATCTGGGGTAAAGCCTGGGCTGCTGAGTTTTTGAAAGCTCTCCAGGTAACTCTAATTAGCATCTAGAGTTGAGAATTGCTGTGGTAGGGGAGTCCTCTCATGATTCCACACCTGTGGTGAATGCTTCCTAGCATAAAAAAGTTATGCCTAAGCTAGGCAGAGGTGGGGATTCCAACCAGGTCAGAGAAGAATTTCAACAGTGTAGCACAGGTATAGTGCAGCCCGATATTCTGTTAATGCTGAGGTTGAACACATAAGAACAAGACTTAGGACTGGGGATGCAGTTCAGTAAATAGCGCACTTACCTAGTATGCATGAGGTTTTGAGTTCAATCCCCAGCACTGTATAAAACAAAGCATGGTGATGCACACCTGTAATCCCAGCACTCAGACAGTGGAATTGTTGGAGATAAGAGGATCAGCACTTCAAATCAAATCCTTGACTAAAAATAAATAAATAAATATATAAATATATATAAATAAATAATAAATACAAGAAGTATGGGTACTGTACCAGGAACGGTATTAACACTTTGGGTATATGGCATCCTGCTGTGGAGTGGGTTCCCTAAAAGAAGACAGACATATCCCCATTTTTATCCCTCTACTGGGGGCATAAGTGCAGGGCGTAGGCTTTTACTGCCCAGAGCCACAGAATGTAGTGGTTAGAGGTCAGATAATTTCAGTCCAAATCCTCCTTCTAAGCAAGTTGATTAGCCTCTTCAAACCTGTTTTTTTCATATGTAAAATAAGAAGTGTAAAATAATTCTTCACAGAGTTGTCAAGCATGTTGTTTCATTGTGTAAAGGACTTGGTATCTGGCACATGGTAAGAGTTCAGGTAAGAATAGGGCATTTTTAAAGATTACGTGTGATATGTGCTGTGATTAGGCAGTTGGCATCTTCAGGACACTCAGAACATTATGAGATATTTGTTTGTATTTATGAAAGGATGTGTGATAAAGAAATCCCCCTGAGTGAGTCCTCAGAGCATACATCAGGGGCGGGCCAGGGGATTCCCTGAATCTAGTTATATTACACCCTTCTTTAAAGATGGTCACCTACCCTCAAGCCTATTAGGAGCGAGGGGCATCCTGCCAAAAATACTCTAGACTGATAGTTCTATAAACACATTGGACATATGACATTTCATATTCCCAGGCTCTAACTCCAGAGAATCCGACCTACTAGTTCTAACATCACTGAATCTACACTCATGATCAATACTTCAGTGGTAATTATTTCTGTATTAACAGACCATATTGTATCACTGAGCAATGCACCCAAGGAATTCAAGCTAAGAGCCTCCATTTCTCTGAAGGAAAAGACTAATAAGCACTTAACTTACATTCTGGTCCAGAAGAAATGAACAGATACACAGATGCGCTAGAGACAGAAACTTGAAGGGAAGCAATCTTGACACGTTACCATCAGAGACAAGGGGGTAGTTTTCTTAGGATGAAGGCACACCAAAATCAAAGCAGATGTCTCTTGTTTTCAGAGGATTCTAGGGATCAAAAATCTATGTATTGGAAACTAGACTTGGGTGTTGTTTTGTTTTTGATGATTAGTTATCTGGAGTCATTTGCTTTCTTTGTTAAGTTTTGCATCCATGGAACACATCAAACTGGAGGATGGTAAAAAGCACAGGGCAAAAATTCACAAACTTAACTTTCCATTTACCTTGTCAACTGGGACTCCAAATCTATTTCCATCAGACACCAGCTCCACCTTTGAGGTGATCTATAGTCTCTTCTCTTCTCCGGGCCCTTGGATAGACCAGGTCTCACCAAAGAGATGGGTTCCCATGCATTCATCAGGACCTTTATAAATCCTAATCTTCATGATCACCTCTTACTAGAGAACACACAAACCTTCTTACCTGACACAGGAATGTGTTAGGTTTCTGAATTCCACGTCATAATGTTGCTTCCTATTCTTAGGTGTGCTCATATGGGTCAGGCTTGGCCCTAACCTTTGTACAGTTATCAGTCACAAAAGGAAAGTGTTGTATAGGTAACAGCCCATAGGAGCTCTGGTCTGTCTTCTAGATTTAGCCTGTAAATGCATTACAGTATCTCTTCAGGCACTAGCCTACTGCTCCTGTTTTACTAAGTTTCTTATGTGTGTGTGCATGTTTATATATATGCAGATACACGTGTGTATGGATGTGTTCATATATGCATGTGAAAGCAGAAAAACAACCTTTGGGTATCATTCTCTGGAACAAAATCCACTTTGAAATAGGGCCTCCCACTGACCAGTAGCTCACCAACGAAACTAGACCAGCTGGCCAGTAAGCCCCAGGGATGTTCCTGTCTCCACCTCCCCAGTGTCGGAACTGTGAGCACAGGCCACCTTGCTAGGCATTTATATGTCAGTTCTGGGAACTTAACTCAGCTCCTCATGTTTGCAAGACTGTTTCTTTACCAACTGAGCTATTCCCCCAGCCATTGTCTAGTCTTTATATCAAGTTTTATATACAGCATGGCCCTCTGTCTTTTTAACGTGCACTTTGAAGCCTGATTATACTTCTGGATAAGCTGGATGCATGATTCCTAGGGAAACCATGTGATGAATGGCATTATCAATATCACCTAGAAGTGACCACCATGGAGGATTGATATTAATCTCCGCTTACCACAGAAAAAAAATGACAGCACCAACACGACCAAACCAAAATCACCTTCCTTGGCAGATGTCATCTATCATCTTATTGGATTACATCTAACAACTGTTTAGCCTAATAATTCACCAGTTACCTAGGGATGCATTTTCCAATAAGACTACATTGAAGTATTCACCAGTAAGGTAAATTACTTAAATTTATACACTATAGAAATACCTTACTAAGATTTTTTTTTTTTTTTGGTCTTTTTGAGACAGGGTATCCCTGTAGCCCCAGCTGTCCTGGAGCTCAGCCCTTTTCTTTTCTTTTCTTTTCTTTTCTTTTCTTTTCTTTTCTTTTTGGTCTTTTTGAGACAGTGTCTCCCTGTAGCTCCAGCTGTCCTGGAACTCACTATGTAGACCAGGTTGGCCTTGAACTCACAGAGATCCGCCTGCCTCTGCCTCCTGAGTGCTGGGATTAAAGGTGTGTGCCACCACACCCAGCATTATTAAGATTTTTAATGCACCCTGAATATAAATACTAGCTGTAAAAATTTTCCTGGCTAAAACTATCAGGGCCAGAGGCTGGCCACTAGACTATGTGTAACAAGGTACCCATAATTGAATTCTGAAGAAAATATTAGCTCAGCCCACATCCCTGGAGAGTTGGGATGGCCTTCTATAATTAAGATATATCTCCTGGTTAGATCCTTTAACTAGAAAAGAGCATCAACCCTCTCTCCTGCTTAGCTGAGTGTCAGAGTATATGGATCTGCCTAATTGGACAATGGAGAATTATCTGCACTCACATTTTTGCCTAAGAATGTATTACCTTAACTTTTGTGCTTCTAAATGCTTATCAAAGATCAATTAGGGAAATCAGTATTCATAAATAATTTCTTCAAAGGCATTCTGTTCATCATCCTAATGTTCTGAACTGAATCTTCAGCAAATCAGACCCTCACTTGCTGCCAACCTAGACAAATTCTACAAGCAGTACTTCTAGGGTACATAATTCTTAGGCATATAATACAGAACAGACTAATAATGATGGACTGTGGCTGTTATAGGCGCTTACCACTTATATAATTTTATTTGGCTCTTACAATAACCCTTTAAGATGATTGTATTATTTCTCCAAATTTATAGATAGGAAAACTGAGTTGTAGAGATTATACCACTTTAAACCACACAATTGATAAGTTATAAAGCCAGCATTTGGACAGAGACAGTGTGATTCTAGAACATCTTTGTTGATGCAGTCTACCATGCTTTCCCTAAAATAATGATTTAATCAGTCCCTCCTTCAACCCCAGATATGGCTCTATGAAATAACTATTCACTCAGTTCTGAAAGACCATGGTAAAAACACCTCTGGAGGAAGCCAGCAGCCATCATCTTTGGGTTTGTTTCAATAAGGCAGCCAAGCAAACTGAAACAAATGGATTCTGGTATTGAACCTGACAACAGTTTCATGGATCTCAATGATCTTTAGATTTTTCTTCTCAAACTGGAATACTGAAAGTATTCCACACCTCAACCCATGAATGACCAGCTATCTCCAAAGAAGAGATTCATACCTCAGAGAATCATCACAAGAGATTCGAGTGGCAGAGGATAGTGTGGGGTGGACGTGATTCTGCAGGACAGTGACAGTCAATCTGAACTCACGGAGCCTTGATTTCAGAGGGTCATTAGAGAAGCTAGTCATGAAACAGCTCAAATTCACTTAAGCCAAAATTGGCTTTATTGATTCATGGACATGGAAGTTCAGATGTAGATTTTGTTCCAGAAAAAAATAAAAAACTGATTCAGAGATATAATGTAGTCAGTGGTCCATCACTCTGTCAGTCTCGTAACTCTTTCAGCCCCAGGATGGCTTCATTCCTCATCAGCTCCCTCAGTGTGGCAAGCAATGTAGTGGTCCCAGACTCACATCCCTCAGTTTGGAATTCCAAAAGAAATTGGAATTGGACCCTCCCAAAGTCCATAGCACAATCCTTGGGAAGCCTATAATTTGTCTTGCTAGCAACATGTAACCAACCAAAACAACCCAAGGACAGTTGTGTCATATGCCTCCTTTTAAGGTCTGGGTATTGTAGACATGTAGGGGTGAAAAAAAAACTCATGGCCCCACACATGGAGTGGGGAGTTTCCCAGAAAAATCCATAAAATTAATAAACCCTGTAAGCAAATAAAATCATGGTTATATAAGTCCTTGCCAGTAACAACTGAAATAACTATATCTATTTGGTTTATTTTGCCAAATTCCTGAAATCTTGACTTTCTTTTCAGAGTTCTTTGGGAAAGTAGAAAACATGAACTCAGAAAGAAACCCAATGCTGAGTCACCCTTTTCAGAAAATTTGGGCCCATTATGTAGTGATGAGCACTCCGAACTCTGAATCCAGAAGACCTTGCCGATGTCCTAACTCAGAGACAGAAGAGCTCTGTGAATGTGGATAAGTCCCTCTTATCTTCTGGGGGTGGGGGTCCTGAGAAAGGAATTATCTAGAAGATCAGCATACATTTCCCATCTCAAAGATGTACAATTGCCTTGTGGCTTTAAAAAAAAATTTACTTCCCATTTCTTTGTGTCAGTTTTCCCATCTATGTGAACGTGAGGGATTACATCTAACGTTCTTTCAATTAAAAAATTTTTAAATGTAAACAAAAACATGTGCAATTTTGACTCTCCTAAAGATTCCCAGTGTAATTAGAAAGCTCCCAAGCCATACACTTAAATTCAGTGCTCTGATGCTGAGGAAGGCAGATCAGGGAAGTGTAAGGCCATGTTCACAGAGCAGAACTACAGCAACTGTTGGAGTTAAAAGGTCCATAGCCAGAGACATGAGCTTGACTGTAATCCCAGAAGGCACCTCAGGACATACAACAGTAGGTCAGGACCATAGCTGGGGCTTGATGAACACTTCACCATGTGCTTTATACTTCAGAGCCTGCCAGTTCAGGACATTAGGACTAACTGTCCCACCGACATACACCATGTTGATCTCTTCTGGAGACAGCACGAAGTCCCACATGTTCACATCTCCAATGTCTCCGACCAAAGACTGGTTTTCATCAAAGCTACCACCATATGAGTCCTGATCCTGTCCCAGGATGATGCTTGCATCTGTTCCCACAGTGTATCCCTTCTGCAGACTTTTCCGGACCCAGGGCTTCCCATCCACCCAGAACTCTGCAATCCCTGTAGCAGACTCCCAGCTAGCACAGATGTGTACTGGGGCTTGAGGAATTTCAGAAGCCTTGAATACTACCTCAGGCCCACCTACTCCCAAAAGATACCCATTAGCCTTAGACCAAAATATGAGAATGTCATTAGCGTTTTTCTTGGAGGCATAAGAGAAAATGCTGAAGCCACGGATCTTGCTCAGATCAGTGTAGATGTGGAGGCACACCGTGAAGGCATTCAGTAGTTTCCTTGACTGTGCTTCCAGGGATACATAGGAATCGGCCGTCTCTTTGGGAAATACAAAGGCCGTTTTAGACATGTCTGTTAAGACAGAAAACAAAGGAAAGGTGAATACTTTCTCAGAGCACAAAGATCTACCCTCATTTAAAAGCAGAGTTTGGAATCAAGACACAACTGACCCCCTTCTCAGGTGACACAAACACAGATGTACCTGATGTTCCTGGAATTCAGTTTGCAAAATCTTGAGCCCCACCCTTCTCCCCCGGATCAAATCCTTATGATAGCCTTTCGTAACTCCTACCTTGCTGGCCAAAAGCATTAGAGAAGCTGATCAAGATCAGGAAACACCGCATCAGCCCCTCCATGGTCCTTCCCTGCTGTTAACACTGCTAGGATCTGAATTTACGCACTTGGAGAACACAATTTTGTTTGAAAGCACAAGAACTAGAAGTCCTGGATCCCTTGCCTCAGGCCCAGCCCATCTGTAAATTTATATCTACAGCAGAAGGAGAGGTTGTACCACTTTGTAAATGATTTCCTAACACTGCCTCTTGGGGTAAATGTCAGACCTCTGGGAGAAAGGGAGGCAAAATCATTCTGGAGCACAGAAATCAATGTGGGTTATTTATTACAAATGTCTGTGACTACCCGATCAGTAGTTCTTTGTGACAGGAAAAATGAAGACGCTTCCCAAGGTTCCACTTTGCCTATCTATGCTGTGAAAATAATGGGATCTCTTAGCCTACTTGATGAGTGGTCATCTGTGTGTACATGCTAATTTCATCTCCAGCACTTGCTTCAGCCCAGGTGGTGGAGTTTAACAGAGGAATGCTTAGGCAGAAGTACATAAGCACTACCTTTCAAAGGCTGTTCATTTACAGATTGGGAAATGAAGAAAACAAACGTTCCAGTCCCTGCGCCAAGAGCAATTTTTTCTTGGCCAGCTGCATAGACTTCTTCAGAGATCTTTGATCCAGTGAAACACGCATGTTATTGTAAACATGCCGTTGTGCAGAGTCTCTTGAAACATTTTCTGAATATGGAAAGCTTCAAGAAGGTGTCAGGATCATCGAGGTTTGTTTCTTTGGTTCACAAAGTCCAAGCTGTCCCTCCACGCTGCCTATCAATCTTGCAGCAGTTTTCCATTTACCTCACTCATCTAGTTGAAGACTGTGCTTCTTCTCCTGGCTTATGAAACGCTCACAGACTCATCCATTCTCACTGAAAAATTAGAAAGGAACCACTGCATCCCTTGCAGCAGAGTACTTCTGACCATTTCACTTCTCACACAGTAAGAACAGCATTTGTGGTTAGATACACACTCACCCAACCAAACAGTAGATTTCTCAGCCAAGTCTGCAACTCAGAGTGATAACATGATTGAATTCTAGCCAATGAGATGGGAACAGAATAGGGACAATCTCTGGGTTGTGCTCTTTAAAGAGAAGACACGTAGCTTCCCTTTCACTTCTTCTTACCCTGTGGCATTCACACATAGAGCATCATCTTTACCTGACAAAGGGCAACGTGCATGGTGAGGTTGGCACAGGAAAAAGATACACGGAACCTGGAAAACTTATTATAAAGCCACTGCCTCAGCCCTCGACTATCTAAATGAATATCTACTTAAAAAAGAAATAGCCTTGTATTTTGTTATATCATTATTAATTTGGTCTTATTGTTATTGAAGCCTAGCTGGTACCATTCTTTACCTCCCCATTGTGAAATCTACCAGCCTTTCTGCCTCCCTCCTGTTATAAGAGATAAACCATTACTAGGGTCTACCTTGCACATTTGCAATAGTCCAAGATGCTCTGTCGCTCAAGGAATTTTGCCCCCACAGGTCTCTCTCTACAATCTACATTATTAATTTCTTCTTTATTCAATAATTTTCCCCAAACACCATCCTGTAATATATTTAATATTTTAGAGAAAGAAAACATAAGAAAAAGGCAGTAAATGAAATGAAGAAAAAGGAGGAGGGTTAATTATAATTATAATTACAACCTTCATTTTCCCATTTATTTTTACCTCTTTAACCCAATAATAATAATAATAATAATATCAGGCTCTGACTTCCATCACTTGAGGGGAAAACAAAATAAACACTCCTTTTATTAAATTTAATAGCAGATTTTCTGTTTTAATCTTATGCAGCATCTGACAACATTAAATACGGTTCATAACTCTTTCTTGAAGTAAGCTGGTTTTAAGGGCTTATGCCTAAAGGAAGTGATCCTTGGTCCCATCACTCCAACCTTGACTTCCAATTACAGCTGAGACAGGGCCTCAATCACATTAAGTCTCTGAATCTAGTTTTACTTGCTCCCAGTTTCTCACCTGACTGTGATCTGAAGTATGTTAGCCATAGACTCTCTCTTTTCTTAATTTACACATTTCTTGGTTTTAGGGTGTTTACATTTCAGTGAGTTTGGGCAAAAGGAATACTTTATAACAATGTCCTGAGTCCAAGACCTTGTGTTCCAAACTGATCATCATTTGCCCTGAAATACCCTGACATCCCTGCACAGGAAAACTGCCAGAGAGATGCAAGTTTTTATATATAAACTGTTTAAATGGAGACACAAAAGTTGAAGTGAGGGATTCAAGACTGTCTCGGTTTCCTTTCCTATTGCTATGATAAAATTGCTGACAAAAGCAACGTGCGGGAGAAACGTTAGGTCACAAATCAAGTTTATAATCCACCGGAACATGAAGTAACAGAGGCAGGAGCTCCAGGGAGTTTCTCACAACACATCCGTCATCAGGAACAGAGGCAATGAATGCATGTGTGCTTGTGCTCAGCTCGCTCTTTCCACTCATGCGGCTCAGGGCTCCTTGGTTAGGGAATGGTGCCACCCACAGAGGGCAAGTCTTCCCACCTGATCTAGACAGTCCCTCATTGATACTTCCCAGGTTATTCTAGAGTGTGTCAAGTTGACAAATTCAACCATTATGAAGACAGACAGAATAATACGATGCATGCTCACCAACCTTAAAATTTCATCTTCTACTTCTTCACACATAACTCCCAATTTCTAACCACAATTATCCATTTAGTGAATCAATGTCTTTTCAGTCCAAACTCTGATGGATCTGCAAATCAACATTCTGTAGATTGTACCAATTCATTCTTTTATTCACCCTCTAGCCTTATCAACTCATTAATATATCATCTATTTCATATTCCCCACTTCCTAGTCACTACTGGAATTATTCTGTTTTACAAGCAAAATTATTTCAGCACACATTATCATCTGACTCTATTACCACTATTTATATAAACTGCTTAATAAGATAATCTATAAGAAACTGGGCCTAATGCCTTTTACCTTAAGCAAGAAACTTTGAAGCTTTTGGGGTTTTTGTTTTGTTTTGTTTTGTTTTAAGTACATTTATTCAGCAACAATGATACATTTTAGAATTATAATAAACAGTAAAAAAAAGTAAGTTTCCCAAAGTTTTCAAATTCTTTGAGTAAGTTTCTCAAAGTTTTCAAGTTCTTTGAGATTCAGGGACAATAAACCATAATTCTCAGGAATTCTCAGAAATTTTGAAATTGTGATTATTTTAAATATATTCCTAACAATCTTCACATTCTATGATGTGAATAGCTAAAATTCTTGTTTAAAGAATAAAATACAGTAGGTTTAGTCATATTTACAAAGAACTATGGCCTACAGGTATAGTCAAAGAATTAAAAACATGATTTAAAATTCAGATCTCCCAATAAGGTAACAGCCAGTCATGGAATCACATGTGGCTCCTGTCTATTTTAAGACTTATCTTCCATTGAAAATGTGTTAGATCTTGAGGGAACATTCAAAGGACTTGTGAGGTATATTATACATGTAAATTCATTAGTATGCATTTTGTCTTCTTTATTACCCTTTCCAGTTCTCCTTTCTAAATTTTACAGTATACCCATACATGAATTTGTTTACATATATACATTAGAGGCTAGGATCCCCAAATAAAAGAGACCGTGCAGGTTTGTTTTTATTTTTTTCTGAGACTGGATGACCTTGCTTAATCTTTTGCATTCTAAGTCCATCTAGTTTCCTGCAAAGCTTGTGATTTCAAGTTTTTTAGAGCCGAACAATATTCCATTTTCTATATTATACCAGATTTTTTTAATCCATTTGTATTAGTCAGGGTTCTCTAAATGTACAGAACTGAGAGAATGAAAACACACACACACACACAGAGTCACACACACATACACACTCATACTAAAAGGAGATTTACTAGGTTGGCTTACTTGCCATGGTCAGGGCAGTCCGACAATGACTGTCTTAGACTGGAGAGGCTGAGAAGCCAGAAGTTGCTCAATGCATGTGGTTGGATGTCTCTGTAGTGTCAATCTGGTGCTGAAGGCCTGGAAGATTCCTAGAGCTGGTGGTCTTCAGTGTACACTGAAAGTCCTAAGAACTTCATTCTAATATCCTCAAAATAATGCCAGCAGCAAGACGAATTCATCAGTGAGAGTGAAAGCAAGCAGGCAAAAAGCGAAAGTTTCCGTCTTCCATGTCCTTTTATTTGGGCTTTTAGGGTCAGTAGTCTTGCTTCAAACAATCTGATCAAGAAAGTCTCTCACATGAGTGGCTTGCATTTTATTGATTCCAGATCCAGTCAAGTTGACAACGAGATTAGCCATCACAAGTATTTCTGTCCTATTTGGTCTCATGTTGCAACTTAGGGGAGGAAAAGAGCTTTGCCATCATACAGTTTATAGCCCATCATCTGGGTAAACCAAGGCAGGAATTCAAGGCAGGATCTGGATGCAAGAACTGAAGCAGAGACCATGAAGGAAAACCGCTTACTGGTTTGCTTCCTTCTGGCCCATTCAGATATTTTTCTTATACAGCCCAGGTCCATGGCCCAGGGATGGCACCACCCACAGTAGGCTGTACCCTCCCACATCAATCAGCAATTTAAAAAAATGCCTCACAGGCATGGCCACAAGCAATTCTGATGGAGAAAATATCTCAATTGAGGCTTCTTCTTCCCAGGTGACCCAAGTTGACAAAACATAACTAAAACACCATTAATCTGTTGATGGACAACTAGATTGGTTCTATTTCCTTCCTATAGTGAATAGAGCAGCAATAAACATGTTAGTGCAAAATCTCTATAGTAGGATATGGAGTTCTCTGGGTATATGCCCAGGAGTGAAATAATTGGGTCATATGGTAGTTCTGGTTTTGGTTTTTTGAAGATCCTCCAAACTGATTTCCATAACGTATTAATTTACACTGCCAGCAACAGTGAATAAGGGTTCCTCTTTCTCCACATCCTCTCCAACATTTGATGTCAGATTTTAATGACAGCCATTCTGACTGGGTTAAGGTAGTATCTCAAAGTAGTTTTAATTTGAATTTCCCTGATGACTAAGGATTTTGAATATTTTTTTAGTTATTGGTCATTTGTTTTTGTTTTTGAAAACTGTTTATTCTACTGTCTCCTCCCTT